TGAAGTGTCACCTTTTTATTGCATGCTTAACAAATGATTCAGCCTTTAAGGGGAGAATTTGCAGTTACACTGCATTTGCATTTTGCATGCTTTTCTGCTGTATTCCATCTCCATAACAAGTAATGCTTTTTGTTTTCATTATGGAACTGGTGTGCAGTGTCTTCATAATTACAATTGCAGCTACGGTGCTGCTCGAAGCTGAATTTTCTTATGCTGCCTAGTTAATCCATTTTTCTGGATTTTAATGTAATTATTGTGTAAGTATTGATTAGCAAGAGCTATAGCTTAGCTTTAAATGAGTTATTTAAAGTAACTTTTCACAGTTCGCTCATCATTTGTTTTTATTGCATCCTGTCTTATGTTCCTCTGCATCCTGCATTTCCTCATCTGCTTGCATTTTCAGGGAAACATTGTACATAAGGGAGACCTTTGGGTTATGTTATAAAACCTTTCCCAAAGAATGCTTAAAACAAGTAAATCTACTGACTTGATGGTTCGTAGGAGGGTTGTTCCTCCTTGGCACCATTTCTAAGTCTGGCCCAGGGCAGACTGCTGCCTTATGATGAATTCAAGCAGCAATGCTTGCGTTTATGATGTTTTGAGCTCAACACTTCAAACAGTTAATCTGAAAAGATATGCAGATATTTACACAGGCGTTTATTTGAGGCCTGAATTATCACTGAAAGACTCTGAAAGGCTGCCCCTGGTATGATTTATGTGGAAATGTTGTGTCGGCCCAGGTCTCTGTGTAGGGGGAGGGATATCAACACCACAAACAAGAACCTTCATAAATAAGTACCAGAAATTGAGGAGGAAATGTTCTCACGCCTCCAAACAATCCCATCGAGTCGCAGGCGAAGCGTCTACCGATGGGAAGCATTGCTCTGCCGTGCACGCTGCCTCCTCCCTGAATAAATGGGGGATTGTCCAGCCACCTTTCTTTATGAGTAGTGAACCTATCATTAATTCTTTCTGTTTGTTTTAAGGGCGATATTTTATCTTTAAGTCTCTAAGATTAGAAGTTTCGTGTCATTCAATTAATTAAACAATGCCACTCCAGAGCCGTAAACATTAAAAAGCCTTCTTGGAAGCAGGCTGTGGCCCAGTCCATTGGATAAATTGATTGATTACTTCTGTGGCTGTTCCTAATAATCTGTAACATTTTTTCATTAGGCAGAAAGTTGTTTTCCTATTTAGCATGCAAACGTGAGATCTGGAGCATTCTGCCCATGTGTTATGATTTCTTTTTTCCATTATGCAATCACAGAATGTGTCACTTCCCTGTTTACAAAAGAAAAATGTAAGAGATAAAATTTGTGTTTAGTAAGGATTTTGATCTTCAATATATTAAAGAAATTAAAGTCCACGGTTGGCAGAAAATCATAAATCATGGTTATGGGTTTCTCTAGAATCATTTTATGGATGCTAGGGCAAAGATATTACCATGTGCACTCGGGTTATATGGAAATGCCACTAGAGGCTATTTGCTTTCTTCAAAGGTGTCCTTTAAGCTCACACAAAATTACTCTAAACAGAGTAAACATACAATTTGCACTAAACTAACACAATGCATTCCAGGTTACACGCCACAGAGAGAAAAAAGACAGTGAAAAACTTGTAGTGAATTTTGTCTTTCTTTCTGCTTTCTCCCAGAACCTGCAGTTCTCCAAAAAGCATTCCTTATTTCAATGTGCTCCAAATATTTCTGCTATTCTTTTTTAGCTGGAGAGCTAAAGGTTCGATACTCAAAATTGAGTTACATGAATTGTGCTCTTTAATATTCTTTTCTGCCCAAATGAGATGAGTTCTCTGGTGAGAAGATCTTTATGAATTCAGCTATGACTCACCTCAAAGTATTTATCAAAAGTAATGTTTCTCAAATCTGGAGAACAAATTCTGTGTAGTTCAGCTTTAGTGTCGGGATGTATTATCCATGCTGCCCTTTGCTATGACGCTTTCTAACAGCTATCCACAATAAGACATGAAAATCTGATCTTTCATTTGATTCTAGGAGGTGCATTTCTAATGCTCACAAGGAGAAGAGAAGGCTGATGGATGGTGAAATTAACCCAAAATACGTATGCGTGCATGTATGTGTGCATGTGCACAAGCTGTCATGAGGTAGACTTGGGAATTCACAATCTGTTGTTTACCTTGCACATCTGAAGATGTTCCTCCTCTTCCTTCTTCTATTTCCTTTACCCTTTTAAACAAAATCTTTACCTGGCAACCCCATCGCTATCTTGGAAAACGTTGCATAGATATTTGTAATATCCACCTTTATTTCTTCCTTACAATCAACCACCATGAAGGAGCTCCTGGTGACATTACTACTTTGCGCACAATCGCTTGCAACATGCATTAGCTTTTCCATTATGTTTTCTTACCAGCTCTTTTCCATCAGTTTTGCCTACCATAATTTTCTCCCCCTCCACCTCAACCCCCCTGCCCCCTTTTTTTTTATTTAGCTTGGATTTGTACCTGTAGAAAATGGCATCATGAATTTGTAGCTACAAAAAAATGACACCACAGCAGAAGACTGAAGTGGATGCTCTCAGACGTGGGCTTTGCGGGTTAGTTGCAAGAGCAATCCCAAACTTAGAGATGTAGGCTTGGGAGGAATTCAAAGCAGCTACCTTGCTGATGTGGTACCATGCTCAGTCTGGAGGGATGCTGGTCAGTCCAAGCTTCGGGGCGCAATACAGGGCAGGGTAGTGTTGGGGGGATGCTGGGTGTGGGTCAGGCTCTGGCTGCCACCCCTGATTCCTTGGAGGAGCTCTTTTCCTCCCTGGCAGGTGAGGTTGTGTGGCACACATCCTGTGACCACCAGCCATATGCCAACATTAATACACGGCTCAGAGGTGCAGGGAGATGATGTGTGCTGGTGGAAGGAGAGGGCTGTGCTCCTGCCTTTGGCAAAGTGCTGTGCCCTGCTTGTGATCAGGAACCGGCTGGAGAATACTGACTTCTTGTGGACCCTAAGGAGTTGCCTTTCCCACCTCTAAGTCTTACGGGTTGTAAATGCTCCTCCTTTACAGAATAGCATGGGAAGGGAAATGCTGAACACTGCAGCTCTTCCCAGGAGGAGAAAAAACAAGTCTGGCAGTTGAATGTGGTTGCCTCTCCTATTTCTCTTTTCCTTCAGCTAATCAGTGTTGTGTGGTAAAACCGTGATGGGTGCTCAGCCTCCCACTCCCACAGGGGGAGAAGAGCAGAATCAGGTGCTGCAGCTGGAAGGTGCAGATGTTTTATACACACACAGCTTGAAGAGTGAGAGCCAAAAACTTCCTTCTTTGCTTCTTTGGAAATATGTTTTCCCACTACCTGAAGAACAGAAGTTAGTGTATTTGTCTGGACTTTTTGCTGTGGAAAAGCACCTTTGTCAAATAAATAAGAAGGTATAATGAAATGAGCCTTCAGAAAGACAAAGGAGGACAGGAAATCCTCTTCTCTGAGCCATACACCATTAATCGTATGGCCTCTGCCCCTGGGCATCTCTCTGTCTCCTACTGGAAGTCTGGCCAGAGAGGAAACAGATAGGGTAGATGGTAAATACAAGTGTAAGTGAAAGGATGGGTTGAAGATGTGAAACAACAGATGCTATTAGAGTTGATGAGAAGGAAAGGAGAAGGACAGTAATGCACTTGTCCTCAACTGCAGCTCCTTGAAACAAGTACCTGACTAGGACTGACTTCTCATGGCCTTATCCCTCCTTTGGTTTAGCTTAGGCACACTTCCAGCCCCTTTAGCACGATATTAACCTGGCAGAGCTAAACTGGATAGTTAGGGGTACGCCAGTATTGTGCAGGGGAGATGTTGGCACAGGCCCTGACTTGCAACCAGCCCAGCACCTCCTCTTCTTCTGATAGGCAGCAGGAAAGCTGCACCATTGCAAAGCGAATTGGCAGTACCATGTTGCATAGCTGCCCCCCAGGCAGCACTGCTGCTGATAAACTTGGAGCTCAGATGCTGCAGGCAGCGCTTCTTAGCTGTCCTGCTGACAGTGCTGCCCTGAGGACACATAGGGCAATTCTTTTATACCCATCAAGAGGAAGGTTGTTCGAGTGTTTAACTGACTGGCTTGTGAAATGTGGGATTTCAGTTTCATGCGGTATCAAAGATTTTTGATGTTATTCCTGCACTGTAGTTGCACTGCTGTTGCTGAAAGCCCCTTTCCTCGCAGCCTGCGTCTTGCTGGCTGTGCAGACGGCATACTCATTCAGAGCAAGACCTTGTCCTGCGTGGATGCATAACTTTGGTTTGGAGTGAAGTATTTATTTGACCTCAGTATTATTCACATGTTTTCCCATTTCCACAGAACCGCACTGGGTGGCTCTGGAGACCTGAGATGAGTCACTTGGGAGGGAAGATGTCCCTATTCTGAAGAAACGATACACAGAAGGGGAAGCTTGGGAAGTGCTGCTCTACAGTGATTCCCCTTGGGAGTGGTGGAATAGCGGTACTGCATGCCTGCTGCTCTGCCCTCTGCTCAGGCAGGTACTCTAGGGCCTGTGATGGGCTAAAGGCGGAGGCGAGGTGCCCTCATGCAGACAGTGTTTCTAAAACACACATTACATAGTAACTTCTAGAGTAAAGCGGCACATCCCTACAGTTAGCAGCGTCTGGGGGGAAGCCGCTAGTACTGCCACGGCTCCAGTTTGCTTTGGTGATGTGGAAGTCAGTCTGTTATGTGGGGTTAGCGTTCTGGTCCCGCCTGAAGCAGGCTAGAGTCACTGTGGGCAGCAAAGCGATGAGTGATGTAACTGGCATTTCTCTAGCCAGCCTGCTATGGCTGCACTCAGAAACTCTGACCGCTTTACCGCTACTTTGCAGCTGCATTTCAGCCTAGGAAAGACCGGTAATTGGACACGATCGGATTGTAGCTGACTGAAACACCCAACCGAGGCTTCCGAGTTGTGTGACTTCAGTCATCCCGGGCTGCAGAGACCCTGCTACGTGACGCATGTGACCGGGCATCTCTCCGGGCAGGCTCTGCGCTTTGCCCCCGGTCCGGGATGCGGCACCCGCCCCTCGGGGCGCGCCGAGGGGTCCCGGTACCCGGGCGGCGGCGACCTCCGAGCGCGCAAGTCCCGCGCAGGGCCCGCTCGGGAGCGCCCCCCCGCTCTGCTCCCCGCGGGCGGGCAGGTGGGCGGGGCGGCGCTAGGGCCCGGGGCGGCGCGGCGGCGGCGGGGCCGGGCGGGGGTGGCCCCTCCCGGGCGCAGCGCGAAGGCGGGCGCGGGGCATGGTCCCGGTCCCGGTCCCGGTCCCAGTCCCAGTCCCGGCGGCGCGGAGCGGGCGCGGAGCGGTGGCATGCGGCGCGGAGACATGCGGCTCTGCCTGCGCGCTGCCCCGCCGACATGGACCGCCGCCGCCTGCCGCTGCTGCTGCTGCCGCCGCCGCTGCTGCTGCTCTGCGCTGCCCTCGGCGCCGCCGCCGCCGCTGCCACCGCCGGGCGTCTGAGCGCCCGCCCCGGCAACGAAGGTGAGCCGCGACCAGGCCGGGTCCCGCCGGCGCGGGCGGATGGGCGGGGAGGGGAGCACTTCGCGCTCTATTTTTCTCCCTTTCCTATTTATTTTTCCATTTTATTTTATTTTATTTTATTTTATTTTATTTTATTTTATTTTATTTTATTTATTTTTTTTTTTTGATTTTGCTTGTTTAATTTCATTTTTATTTTCTTTTTTTCCTTGTTCCTTTATTTTTCCCCTCTCCCATTCCTGTGGACCCTGGCGGCAGCGGCCTTTCGCCCCGGGACCGCAGCCTTCTCCCCCCGCAGCCGCCTTTGCGCTCTGGCTGCGCGGCCGCGGCCCCGCTCACAGCCGCGCAAGGGCGGCCGCCGCCCGGTGCCAGGAGGGGAAGCGGCGGCGGTGGAGCAGAAGGGGGGGAAGCGGTCGCCCTGGCCACCCCCGAGGAAAGTTGGCTTGGGAAGCGCAGCGGGGCCGCAGGACAGCCCGAGCCGGCTCCGTGCCTTTGCCCGCGGCGGGGCGATGCGCGGGGAGCCGCAACGCCCGGGGCGAGGCGGGGAAGGGCAGGGGGGGGTTCGGGGCCCTGGAGCGACCGCTGCCCCCCGCCAGCCCTTGGCAGGTGCCCGGCGGCCCCGGGGCTGGCCCTGCAGGGCGAGGAGGAGCCGCCTCTCCGCTGGCCTCGAGTGGCGAGCGGACCGCTGTTAGGTGGCAGCGGTAGGAGCCGGATTGGCTTGGTGATTAACAGAAGTAAGCTGTAAAAGCTGATGGGCATCTCCCGTCTCCCTCCTTGCAGCGGTCACCGCGCCGTTAGCCCGCTCGGATGTGCGGGCGGTTTACATCAGTCGTCCTGTGTTTCAAAACTTTTAATTAATACAAGAAATACCCTTGCTCCCCTGTAAAACTCCTGTTTGGGTCCGTAGTGGTTCCGATTCCGGCTTTTTTAACGTGTTAAAATGATGTGTGTGTGTATGTGAATGTGTGTAAATGTTCAAAACAAAGCGGGAGTGATTGGTGCTCCTTTGCTATGGTAATTTTGAAGATGACATGTTAGGTGTCAGGAAAAAATGTTGACCACCAGAGGCTTTAGAAAAGTAATTGAAATACTTTAAAAATAAGATAAAACTGCTTTTTCCTTCTTAATAAAATAAAAAATACAGCTTTTGCTCATTTGAGCAGTGGAGGCAGTCAGCATGGCCAGGATGTCCAGTGTAATCGTCTTTAGGGATAAAATCTAGAGGCCAAAGGTTGTGAAGAACTTCTCATGTCAAACCACCATGTAAAACTTGCACCTGCTTGAGCGGTAGTGTTTGTGCAGAGAAGTAGATATCAAAGCCGTCGGAGCAATCATTTCTCCTCTATAAATAATGCTGACATGCTTATTGATAGTCTCGGGGCTTGTGGGATAAGGCTGTGAGATAACGACTTTAAATGATTTCTGGAAGGAGAAAGGAGTGTAGTGCAAAACAAATAAGGGAAGATTCAAACTTTACAAACCCTGGGTACTCTGAAATCAGTTGGTTTTATTGCTAGGAAGGAAGCTATGGTGCCATCCTACCAGAAAAAAAAACAATATATTATCTGTCTGTATGTTTTGTGTAAATTTGTTTTGCGTGGACAGTGCTTTATAGGCTGCTTAAAGAATGTGCTTTTAATTGTCAGTCACTTTGAAGCCTCTAGATAGATGCTGTTTTGTAAATATTGCCCTGTTTCACAAATGACTTCCAGAAATGAAAACAGGAGTGTTAGTAGGGGTTATTCTTATCTTAGTACTAAAAGCTTTTGGGGAATGTATGTAGTTGTCAGTCAGTGGAACAGCTCTGCCTCCATGGAAGTGGTAGTCAGGCACAGTGTGTAAACTGAGATTAATTATGCCAAAAAGATACCGGAGCATTCCAGTTTGCCACAGAACCCACTTTTCTGTTTCTTTGTTTAAAATGCCTGAGAGCGAGAGTTGAGAAAGGAGGAAGAAAATCATCATGCAGAATGTGCACGAAGCATACATACTTGTCCGAGGCAGCGTTGAGCTGGTACTGCATCTGTTCTCTCTTTTCAGTTTCAAGAGCTTGTGCGATACGGGCACCGTTTTCAAATGTGAAAACGACAGCATAAATGCAGTTATGGGACACTAACCCGCTCTTGCATGCTTCCTTTTTGCAGTATGTATTTTGCTGTTCTTTACAAAACAAAGAACACTGACAGTTTCTTTTAACAATGAGACGAACTTTTAAGGACTTCTCCTCTCCCCCCCCCCACACACTTAGGAAGGCTCAGTAATTCTTTTACCACTTTACAGCACATTTAGGTTGATCCTGTGAGTTTAGAAATCTGAATTATTATAATTTGCTGCCACACGAATTTGAAGGTGAAGCGTTAGCGTGCAGCTTTAAATCGTGTCACAGCATCGTGCTTTCCACTTTGAAATCATCTTTTCCTCACCACTTCGCTTACTTCCCTGCTGTCATTACCACAGATTTCCTCCCAAAACTGGAGAGAGATGTTTCTTCGCTTCTGTGGGGTAGCTAGAAAAGTTTTCTTATTCCACCACTGCAAAGGAAAAAGATATGCTTTGGACAGAGATTGCTAATACAGGCATATAGATAGAAACACTTTTTTCCCCTACGCTTTGTATTAGAGCTACTGTTGAAATTCTCCTCAAATGATTGTTTTAGCAATGGATGGAACTGATTTTTGATCTGTTTATATAGCTTTAGCTAACTTCTGGGAGCCATGAATGTTGCCGTATGCACGTTACAAGAGTATGTTCAGAGCTACCAGTGATTTTTCCTGCATTTATATAACTTGAAGGAATTATTTATATTTTTTAATTTCAACTTCGGATAACATTTAGAATTAGTGTTAAAGCTGATGACTGCCTCAGTTAGGACTGATAGTGCAATGGGAATGGGTAGGATGAAGGGAGGAAAGGATGAAAGAAGGGCTGAAGGCAAGTTGTTGGGGTGTTTTTTTTCCCCCTTTTTCTTGGAGTGCTTGAGTTTTTGTTCATTTGCTTCATCCCAGAGATGTTTTATTTGGAGTTTTTTCTTGACAAAACGGAACGTTTTCCACTGATTTTGTTTTTAACTCCCTTCGGTGCTCGTCACGAAGCTGCATGCGTTTTACCTACGTAATCACAGGAGCTCAAGAAGCTTCTCTAAAGTTTAGGTTTATCTGTGCGCAGTGGTTAGGTGCGTGCCATTTTCTGCGAGGCAGGAAAACGTCAGGAAGATTTAACATCTAACTTTTCCAGTTTGAAGTTGCAAACCGAGCCCTGTAGGTGCATATAAACCGCATGTTCCGCTCTTCCATTCTGTTGGATGTTTTCCGCTGTGGGTTTTTACTTAAAAGGATGCAATTTCTTTCTGAATAATTCTGAAGATATCAAGAAATCGGATGAGCTATAAAATTACGTCATTTAATAATTTTTCCTCCATCTCTTTTGTAACTATAGTGCCTGCCTGAGGGTACCAGCAACCTTAATTTCACTGTTTTATAACCCACAACAGTTAACACTTGACCTAGGTCATTAACAGGATTATCAGCAAATTTGTTTAAGCTTTTACTGACAACCTGAATTGCTGCAATAATATTTTGCCTGTGCAGGCAGGAAACTTCTTGTAACCTCTCAATCTAGCATAAAATTAATTTCTTGTGAACACAGCTACCAAAGGATCAATATGGTAAATATGCTTACAGTACCTGGTTTCAAATAGTGTCTGTTTTGGTGTACAGTAAGAAGGTTCCAATTAGCCTCTCTTTTCAGTCTGTACTATATTTGGGAATGCAGTTTCATCTTTGATTCATTGATTACAACCTTAGAACTTGATGTAACTACAGTTATAAATGCATCATTTTATCTGGGCTGGTCTTTATTAATACTTAAAGTCGCTAAAGATGACTTACTGTGCCTTTGGAGTAATGACAGCTCTTGGCACGGCTTTGAAAAATGCGGTGTTTGCATGTGGAGCAAAATGCCTGCCCAACTTTTGCAGGTAATCTTGGAAAGGCAGGCAAGACTGGGAGCTCCTCGCTGGAATCAAAAGGGATTGAACAAGGAAATGCCTGTTACAAACCTCGCCTCACTGTATGTCGGGTATCGTTAGATCAGCATAAGTCTTCATTAATCACGACACAATTCCTGCTGGTGCCTTTAGCTTGCTCTGGAGTGTTTAGCTGTAAAAGTAGTTAAAAGTAGGTTCAGAAATCTTAATTTTAAAATCTAATTTTAGAAAGCTCAGAGTCCTGGGGGTCTAAAAGGCTGTTTTTCATAGAGCTGTGTCTTATTCAGAGCTTCTGGGCTTAGCCCTGACCTGTGCGATTAGACAAATAATGAGCATGCTTTAACATTCACACCATGGTGTTCTTAAAATGCTGCTCAATAGGGGAAGTAACTTGGGTAAATTCCCCCTTGTCTGTCGACATTTTTGATAGCAGGTGAAGCACACGGGATAATTCATTTTGTTTTCTGTTTGTCACTGAACTTTGTCCTTACTTACTACTGATTTCAGTATCGTATATTAAGAAAAATCACTATGTTGTATATAGCAAACTGAAGGCAGATGTTTAAAATATAAAGAGGTCCAAATTGGACACAGCGATTAATTCTCACTGCAGTTAATTTGGATACAACATATTTGCTACCCCACAAAGCAGTCAGGGTGTAGAAATAGGTTGGAACTCTTCAGTACTCTCAGCCTCAGGAAATGAGGCTTCAGAGGCACTACCAAGAGGGAAAGCATTAAACAGATTATAAGCACACTAAGTTTAACGCTTGTTTACATGAAATCTTTTCAAATCAGGAGTGCATTCTGATTGAACTTAAATTTTTAATTCCCATCTGGGAAGATGCACAAATTAGGTTTTATTTGTTTTTAGTAAATTGCTATTAGTGTACTTGCAAGTTCTCAAACAGAATCAAAAGTAAGTTTTCCTCTAGGCGCATATGTAATGGCCCTTGTTCTTGTAATCCCCACTTGATGAAAGTTTAGAAATACGGATGCAGGTGCTCGTTTTCTTGTT